CCATTTGTAGTTTGTTTGCGAAGGCCCTGTTGATGTCATTTTGTGTAGTTTGTGCGGCTCTAAATTTCTTGTAGATAGCTAAAGTCATATTGAAGTTATAGCATTTTTTGTGATTTTCAAAAAAAAAATCAAAGGGGTCCATTTTTCGTGAAAAAAAAAAAAATTTGTATTTGCTTGTTTTCTGAGATGCGAAATACATATCTCAACTTGGTTTCTTCTTTAAAATATATTTGAACACACACGTAGGGTCGGTACTAATTGTTCTATTTCAATATTTTACTCTTACTATAGAAATATGTCAAATATAAATTTGATGTTAGAACATAGGTATCTAGGAATAACAATATACAAGAGAATGAACTGGATAAAACATATTATAAATTTGAGAGATGGCTGCACGAAAAGGCTTGGAATTCTAAAATGTATTTCACACTCTAGCTGGAAATAGAATACTAACAGACAAAATACAAAAAGACAGACCGATAGACAGGCAAAAAAAAAGCTTATTAACATAATGGAAGAAGGAATATGAAATGAAAGAATGCAAAATGACAGAAATAAAACCTAATTGCGACAAATGGCTCACAAGCTACAGAAGTTCAAGGAGAGAAGAAGTTATGCTTTGCAGACTAAGGATAGGACACTGCCAGTTTACACATGGCTACCTTCAGAGAGGACTCGAAGCGTCCACGTGTGAAAAATGTAATAACGTTCCACAAACAGTCAAACACTTACTGGAAGAATGTCCTCAATTTGAAAGTTATAGACAAAAAACAGGCTTAGCCATAACATTGAAAGAAATCCTTTAAGATACTGAAGAAACAGTCAATACTTTGTTTGCATTTTTGAAGTTCATAGAGTATTACAAAAGAATATAAATCATAGTAAAAATCCATGGCCAATGACCCTTCATAGTAGAGGGGCGAAAGGGAGAAAAAAAAATGATGTAATAGAGCTCGCATGAGTAATATAAACCGAAATAAGCTATCGAGAAATCGAGAAAGAAAAAAGAAAGAAATTATGCAGTAAAAATATTTTATATGACACAACTGTTAACGATTTCGATAATTTTTTTTTACGTTTTGTAGGGAATTTAGTAAGCACCCGGAGACCAAACCGGGACCTTGAGCTTTGGAAGTCATCGCTTAATTACTGAGCTATCCCATTCCCAGTATTAAATATAATGGCCCAAGACGTAAATGGGATATACAATCGTGTCGATTAGGTCATAGACGGCAGTTTTGTGTAAAGTATCACTAAATTATATAAGTTTTTGTAAAAACAAAACCGTAAACGCGACCACCCAGATTTGGCGAGGTGACAGGACGATGCATCGATTAGCCAAATAGCGCAGGGTGGTCTCTGGCACTCATCGAGAGAGGATGTGATACTTACACGTCTCTTGTACGCCACCTGCATTCAAATCTCCGAGCAAAATGTCCCTCTTATGGAACTGCTCTAATACTGATAAATAAACTCGCTCAGCTCTAAAAGGATATCAAGATAAATAATTGAGTTGTGAGAAAATAAATTCAATAGGTCTATTAATTTTGTACACGGCTATGGCGAAGTTATAAAATGAATTATGCGTTTGGGTTGTCCGCTAAAATGTAAAGATTTTTTTGAGCGAACGACTGGACATATTTTTAAGTTTAATGGCTCAAATTATGTAAATATTGTTTATAGGTGTGAATGTATTTTATTTATTTTAAATATTTAATAGTTGACCATAGCATTATAAATGAAGGAGATGGTGGCAAAACTATTAAGCCTTTGGCTTTTAATAAAATAGTTTTGCCACTATTTAGCCTACTTATGGCCGTCCCCTCGGACCATCTCCTTCCTTTTGTATTTATTTTATTATCATTAGGCTTTAATCTATTATTTTACTTATCTTGTATGTATATAATTTTTTCTCTTCTTACTTTGTTATTTTTATTTATTTTCCTTTCTTATGTACATATTGTGTGAATGAATACTATAGCCCTAGTACCAATGACCTTCAGTGTGGCAGACTGTATTATTACTCAATAAAGTAATAATTTAAGAATGGTTGAAACAATGAGATCTAAAAATACTGGCCCAGAATCGAATAAAATGTTTTAAATAAATTTATCAAAAGATATGTAAACATGTTTTTACTTTTTTTTTTAAGAACTTAATCATTAGGATCCTGCATTTAAACATACAATTATTTTAAATATATCATTTAAACAATGATGATAAAACCTAAATTATATTAAATACCACTTAATTGTAAATTAGGATAACGAGTTGATCAAAATCGTGTCACTTCCAGTTTGCCGAATATTGATGAATATGTTCTTGTGACATCCCAGGTATATAAAAACCTTAAATACGTAATTCAAGTTTCAACAATTATTGATTTTTCAGGAAGAATGTCCCCATACCCACAGACCATTTTTCGATAATTGATAATTTGGACTCAAAATGTGTATTTCCGTTAAAAACTCGAATTCAAATATTTTTACGATCTGTTACTATATATTTCATATATTGGTAAGAGAAAGTAAAAATGGTGCTCTCATCACATAACTTTCGCTCACCACCCTAATTGAGATTACCACCATATTTAAATCTATCATCGAATCTTATGTTATAACCATAACCGTATAGGTTTTTCCCGAACCGTAAATACAAACACTTGAATATCTTTAGCAGAATGCACTTCTTCATGTCTTATCTCACGAAAGTACAATAACGATTTTTTTTTTTTTAATAATTGCATTCATACGATTCGGTGCATCGGGTAGTTTCGATTTTTCAAAATTGAATTAAGTTTTAAATGTTTTCATTAAATTACATATTAGTAGAAATATTATTCAAAAAATTTTCGTCAATCTCCATGACCCTCTACCACTTTATATATTATTTCTCTAAAAATATCACCAAGGATATATTCTTGATTTACGGGACGTTTTCCATTTGCAAAAATATTTCTAGAAGCCATTTTGAAAATTCGACGTTTAATCATTATCAGGTTATTTTAATGAGGATGAATCCCACCTGATATTGAAAACCATTTAATTGTACAATGATATAACGAGATGAATCAAAATCGGCTCAAATCGATTTCGGATTAATCGATTTTGAAGGACTTGTTTCGGTAATATCCGAGCCGTATACAAACCTTAAATAGGCAATTTCAGCTTCGTACGACTTTCGTCACTACCATTTTTTCCTCTGATTAATTCCATTTTCCAAGAAACCATTTCAAATAGTGATTGGTATTTTTTAAAGAAAAATAATTGCTTCACATGTTTTATTTTAATATTTCTATATTACTGTCCTTTTAATTATAAAGGCACTTGAATTTTCAACTTTCGTTTGATCAACTTGAAAAATGGATTTTCTTAGTGTTTCTTTATTGTGTAAGCTAGTTGTTTCCATATATTTTTCACGTGTTTCTGATTTCCTGATCATAACGTCGCCTATTTGGGTCGATGGATCAGGGAAGGTTTCTAAATTCAGCGCTAATACCATCGATGAATTGCTTCAATTGATAGAATCGAAGAAACTGTCGAAAAGCGTTTTATTCTGAGTATAGAAAGGACTTGCTGGATTCCAGTGGAAGATATAACACTCTAGGAAGGTAACAAAATAAATATTAATTATATACTGAACAGAGGTGCCCAAAGGGGGATTTTATGGCGCAGGTTGCGCCATCAAAATTTTTGAGGGGGTCACATTTTGATGAGATTTTGAATTGTTGAGGAGGTATTGTTTCGACGGGGTTTGAATTTTCGGAATAAATATTTTCAAACCATGGGATAAGATAAAAATACGGACCAGACCGTAGCAAGTGTGATTGTATATGATCTACAATTTTTCTAATTATACTTTTGCTTGCACTGTCTCAAAGAAGAGGAGAGCAATAAAATATTGTGGCAGGGGAGGAGGGAGTTAATGTGCCCCAAATACTGAATATAAAAATGTTATGGTAAATCAAGAAATAACAACACTGAAATTACATCGAGCTAATCCATAGATTGCAATAGCCGATGGAAACCCCGAACCATAGGTGATTTAAGGAATTTCTTAATGGCATCGATAAGTTATGGAACGTTCTGATGGATTTGCGATGCCATAATAATGTTTTAAAACTGTTTTGTTCGTATTAGGGAGGAGGAAGGAGGTGGTGTTATAAGAAAGGACGGAAAAATTGAATTTGTTACATCCTTGAGTTAAATCTTAGTTCCTATTGAAATATATTTCGTGGGGGAGGGGGGCGGGATGGCCGGACAATCTGATATATCGAAGATGAATTATGTTATAATAATTACGAGTTCGAGTCCCGGTGTCGGAAGTTATGCGATTATGTATATGATATTATTTTATATTGTTATACTATACTTATTATGAGGTTATGGTTATATTTTAAACTCGGGCATTAATCTCCCGCCCTCTAAGAACTGAGGAAGGAGAGAAAAAAACAAAATGAAAAATTTCATTGCGGACTCACGGAATAATTCTCGACCTTTCCACTCGGGTTAGAATAGGTTTGGTTGTACCTTTGGTTGTAACAACCTCCTCCCCCTCTTCACCTCCTTCAGTATACAAGAAATGGCGGTTGATAACTGTAGAATTGAATTTAGATTTTTTATTTTTAAGGATAAAAAATAGTCAGGATATGGTTGACTAGTTATTCCGTGGTACAGTTCCCTTTTTATCAAAATTATTAACATCTGTGTGAAAAGCGATGAATAGCTTCATCTCATCGTAACCTACAAATATTTTATTTACGAAAATTTTCTGATTAAATCTGAAGATCGGCAAACTTTGTCTATTTAATTAGGTACTAAAAACTCATAAATACTCATTTGCTTTTCACTTGAATCGTAAGATTAGTTGCATCACAAAATCGAGAAAAAAAGGTGGCCTACAAAAATATTGAGTCGTTTGGCCTGTGAAACCTCGTTATTTTGACAATTTCGGGGGTGTAGGAAACGCTAAACGGCTCAATATTTTTGAAAGCCACCTTCTTCCTCGATTTTGTGCTGAAATTATCTTACGATTCAAATTGAAAACAAATGGGTATTTACAAGTTTTTAGTACCTAATTAAATAAACAAATTTTGTCATTCTCCAGATTGAAGACGCTCCAAATTGCAAGAGTTTTCGTAAATAAAATAGTTGTAAGTTACGATGAGATGAATCTATTAACGAAGTTTCAGACGGATGTTAATAATGGTTCTTATTCGTCTAAACAACATAAACGACCTTATAATTTTAACAGTCAACTATATCTCTATATCTTAATTTTTTGTTTTTTTAATAAAAATTAATTCCTTTATTATTATTTTTTTGCCCAAATTAATTCGACAAGAAATCCGTTACTTATCTGGTATTTGGTTCAATATAAATCTTATGATTATTGAGATTAGTCTTGTTGTGCCCACATTACACAATACAGTCGCGCGGTAATGGCGTGTCGATGGGTTTTTGTTTTGTCTTACATTGTTGCTACCACGGCAGAATGTCCTCTATAGACTTGCCGGAGAATGGGGAAGGCCGGGGTACCTGCGTCCACAGCTGATGTCTAATTATTCTTTCTTAGAAGCGAGAACTTATTTTGTTTTTTGTGACTAAGAATCCAGGTGGGGGGGAGCCCATAGCATCCCCCTCCTAGTGGTATAGTTGAAGAGTGCAATAGTCGCTCCTCTGGATAGTGCGGTGTACGGATTACTTTCTCTCTAGAGGTAAATTTTCAGTATATATTTAATAAACTATAAAATATTCTTGGGTAATAAATATTCAGAACGCAGTCATTATATTTTTTTTATTTGTGCCGAACCCAAACATGTGGGTCATCATCAGGGCTGATTTTTTTTTTTTTTTTTTTGAATACAATTAGAGATATAATATTATAGAATAGAATAGAAGAATCAACTTTATTCTGGGACTACGTCCCTTGAGAATAACAATATTGTACATAAAATTAACATTACATCTGGCCAAAATGTATATTACAATAAACAAAAACAAACAAAAAAACAACTAAAAAATAAGGGATAAAAGAATTATTTACATAACTGTACAGATATAGGAAGCCTTAATAATATACGATCGATAATGGTAAATAATAAACTATAGTGATTGTACATGAGTCTTAACTATTATTACAATACACAATATTAAAAATGAAATATGTAAAAATTTATACAAACTAAAAATAATGTAATGATGTAGAGATGGTTGACCGTGATATAATATAGGAGTTGATCGGGGGGTGCGGTCAAATAAATACTAAATTATAGAAATAGTATTATTTTATTATTATGCCGACGTTTCAACCCACCTTGCAGGTCTTCATCAGGGCGTGGGATGTGACACTGCGGGAGGCAGTTGAAACACTCAGTAATTAAATAATACTATTTCTATAATTTAGTATTTATTTGACCGCACACCTCGATCAACTCCTTCTCATAATAATAATATAATATAATCCATTTATAAAAAGTTGTAATATTTTCTCTTACTAACCGTGGTTCGAGCACTCTTTAGTGCTCGAACCAAGATTACTGATTATTTTTACATATTTCATTTTTAATATTGTATATTGTAATAATAGTTAAGATTCATCCAACAATCACTATAGTTTACTATTTACCATTATCGATCGTATAATATTATATCTCTGATTGTATTTTTTTTTTTAAATTCAGCCCTGAAGATGACCCACATGCTTTGGTTGAAACGTCGCCACAAATAAAAAAAATTTAAAATGACTACTTCCGGAATATTTATCACCCATGATATGTAGAACAGTCGACTAGCTTTCTTCAATAATTCATAAAATATTCTTATATATCGTGTCTTCAAGGAATATATAAGCCCTTATACTTCAAAGATTTATTCAAATTCAACGACGTTTCGAGCTAATTTGTTTGCTAATCATTATCTAGTAATTTATTTTTTATTTATTTAATTCTTATTTATTTATCAACCCTGCCGTGCCTAGTAGGCAATACGGGTGTCTGCAATAGTAAGATGTTAGGCAGGTCAGCTCAACATCTCACTGCTGCAAATGAATCTCGTTCTTCTGCTCCTTCTTCATTTTTTCCTCTTTCTTCATGGGTGCTTTCCTCATCCGTTTCACGCCAATGGTATAGCACCTCTTCCTCCTCTTCTTAAATTAAAATGGGCTGGCCCCACCGCGACTTTCCACCCGTACACAAAATCTTTGTAGTACGGGTAGTTTTCCGCAGTGACTAACTGAGGAAAATCGTTCTCTGTGAGAATGTAGAGACCGGTTTCCCTCAGTAACTTAGCCCTTAGTTCTTCAAAGGCGGTGCAGTCCACTATGATGTGCTCAGCAGTCTCCGGAACACCGCAGCTAGGGCATAGGGGGTTGATGTCCATCCCATGGCAATGAAGCTTTGCTCGAAAGCCCCCATGGCCTGTGAGAAATTGGGAGATCCAATAGTCTGGGACGATCCACCTTGCTTCTAAACGTGACCGGACGGTGGGGAAGTACTTCCTCAAGGTAGATCCTTTGGGGGTTATCACCCATCGCCGGTTCCATTCCTCCAATGTGTCGTCCCGTATAATGTTTTTCCATTTGCAAGGATTCTCGTCAATTCTCACCTTAAGATGTTCCGGTAGACCTGCTGAGCCGTTTTTCTTAAACGTGTGCCTCATCATATCTTCTCGCAGGAGAAGGTCGAGAGGTACCCCTCCTGCTAATACCTGCACCGCCTCATGGGATACGCTTCGATACGACCTGGTGACCCGCAGCAATGCCGTTCGCTGTATTGTCGCCAACTTACTCTTCTGTCGGTGCGAGAGGTTCTGGTTCCAGGCGGGAGACGCATACCTCATGATACCCAGAATCACTCCCTTATAAATTGTTAAGGTTGCTGGGTATCTGAGGCCCCAGAAAGCGCCCCCAACCCGACTGAGACCGTTCAAAGATAGGGCCACCCTGTTTTTAAGATAGTCCAAGTGAGGGGTAACGCTGAATTTTTTCCCAAATTTTACGCCTAGATAAGTGACCACCTCACTTGGACGTATTCTCGAACCTTGAACCGTTATGTTAATAGGGTGTGCCCTGTCAGTTTTCCCTTTCATGACAATTGTATGAGTCTTTGAAGCGGCCATTGATAACTTTTTCCTCTCGCACCATTCTCCGACCAAGTTGGCGCATCGTTCTGCTTCTTGTCTTAAGCCGGCTATGCTATTGGAGGCCACCACTACTGCCAAATCGTCAACGTATCCAGTGGCAGGGAACCGCTGTTCTTCTATTACTCCCAATAACTCATCAAAAACGAGCTTCCATAAAGCTGGACCAAGTACCGATCCTTGAGGACATCCCCTCTCTATGAAAGCTTCAGTCTCATAAGAACTGCCACGAATCTTAACACGTCTATCCTGTAAGTAGCTTCTTATCAAGGCATATAAGTTACTGGGAGCATCATATTTCTGCAGCTGCTGGAGCACAAGAGGCCACCAGACGCTGTCGAAGGCGGAGGATATGTCGAATAGCATCAACATGACATACCGCTCCGTCCTCAGTTCAACGTCTTCACGTACTCTCAGTAGGGCATCAGCGGTTCCCTTCCCCTTAGTGGAGCCGTATTGCCGTGGATGACTTGCTCTGGCAAGAACTGGTGCTAGACTGGTCATGATAAGGTTCTCCAGGACCTTGCTCATCACAGGGAGGAGGCATATTGGTCTATAGGACTTGGGGAGCTGTTTATCCCTATTCCCTCCCTTGTAGAGGAGTCTCAAATCGGCGATCTTCCAGGTTTTGGGAAAGTATCCCCTCTCCAGACAATCATTATATATTCCTAAAAGTCTCTCATCAATGTAGGGAATACTACTCTTTAGGATCGCCGCATCTATAGCATCGAGTCCTGGAGCACGACCGATTTTCTGCTTATCCACAGCAATACGGAGATCATATATGTCCCATAGTGGGCACAAGTCCGTATCCGGTGGGTATGCCGTGGTGCGTCTCACGAAGTTTTCCTCATCGCTGTCTTGAGACGGATCATCCCTGGGGTACGTCCTCGCAATGAAGATTTCGGCTGCCTCCTCGAAGTTGGTTGCCTGAACATCTCCGTGCTTGAGGGCTGCCAATGTTTGCTGCGTACTAAACTTCCCCATGGCTACCCTATAAGGAATACCCCAGGGATTCTTCGTGGATTCTTCAACAATGAACTCATCCCAGGACTTTTTCTTCTGTGAACGCACCTCGTTTCGGTACACCCGGGCCTTGGACTTGTACTGATCACGGAGTGTAGAGCGCCTCTCGTCGCAACTACACCTCTGATACAACCGCCGTGCCTTGTAGAGCTCTCTCTTAAGGTTTGTTAAGGCCGGCGTCCACCATGGAACAGGTCGAGCTTTCGCCTTCCGGTGCTGAAGGGATTCCTCAGCGGCATCACAGACAATATTAGTGATCCTAGACACCCTGTAATCCAGGTCATTAGTCTGTTCTATTTCCGCTTCATCCCATTCATCATCTACCAATTTTCCCTCCAGCGTCGACCGGAAGGCATTCCAATCTGCCCTTCGGGTTAGATAACCCTTGGCAGTACCGTGGGAACTTTCTGAATTTTCCACCAGCCTGAAGGATATCGCTTGGTGGTCGGAACTCGTCTCAGATCGGAGGGTCCAATCAACGATGCGATTGGCTATTAATGGCGTTGCAAGTGTAACGTCAATCCAACTCTGCCCCCTAGCGCTAGAGAACGTAGGGGTAGCAGAGGGATTGTTTAATACTACTAACTGGTTCCGGGAAATAAATTCGCCTAGCTTTGCGCCTCTTCTATTCGTTTGATTGGATCCCCAGACCGTGTTCCAGGAGTTGGTATCTGAGCATATGATCACATTTCTGGTGGTAGCCGTGATCATCTCCATGGCGGATATGTCTTCGTCAATATCGTTGCTATCAGGTAGGTAGGCTGATACTAACGTAAAAGCTACATTACCCCACTTGAAATAGCAAGCGACGGAATCCGCCATAGTATGCTGCCTCAGATCCATCACATCGAGGTTCGGGTTATTAACCACTATAGCAGCCCTGGGCCTCCTCTCTCCACTGCTCAAGGCGATAACCCTCGATGTAAGGCCAAACCCCGTGACTATGTTCCCACGGCAGCTCGGTTCTTGGACCGCCATTATGTCGTATCGTTGGGAGAGAACACGAAGTTCATCTGCCACAATGTGTCGGCGGCCCATGTTGAGCTGGAGGATGGTAAGCTTACTCATAGAAGGTTCTTTTAGCTACCTCTTTGGCCCACTGTAGATGCACAGGGCATTCCCTGCTACCCGCCTTGTGTTTCCTTTGAACAACGGGAGCATTTGCCCTCGCACAATTTATGCAGGTTGGGCTAGCCTGTTCTCTTTTCTTTGGACACTCTTTAATTACATGGCCACTAGCTGAACACCAAATGCAGACTACTGCATCTAGTGTGCACGTGGCCTTGGTGTGACCGTAGCCCTGACATCTACTGCATCGAGGAGCATCGACGTAATCTTTAAAGGTTATGGTCCACCATCCTCCGTCTAGGCTTCCTATTTCGAGAAGCAAGAACCTGACTGTTGGATGCACCTCTAGTACCCAATTTTTAGTAAACCCGTTTCTGGCCACTGAAGAGAATAGTGGCCGCAGGTCATCCATGATCAGCGGAGTGGGGCCCGACTTCTCGGGTAATCGTTCCCATAAAAATCTTGCCAACTCAGCTGAATTCCA